TGCAAAATGAATAAAAAGATTTTTCAAAAAAAAAAAAAAGAACTACACTCTGGTTTGTTATACCTCTTCCTTGATTCAGAGTGCTGAGCAGGTTCCAACCATACCCCATTTCTAGAGTAAAGGCTCCTGCCCACTTTAATTGGAGACTGAATGGGCCACCAGACAATTCTGGATTATAATAATCACATGGTGCAGGCCTGGCATGTGGACTATGTTAGCAAATAGGCTGCTCCTGAATCGAGCCTTCCTCTACTCATTGAAGTACCTTGGGTGAAGACTCGGAATACAGAAGAAAATTGAGCGCCAAAGAAAAAAAAAGGATAAATGGATAAGGCAGTTATGTGCAGTAAGATCATCTTTTATTCAAACGGTGGTAGTTAACGTGTTACAAATTTCTAATTGATCAAGACTTAAGAGTGCTAAGCAGACCAAGAATAGTCTTGGTGTATGTCTGTTTTTTTAGTTGCAGTAGTTAAGCTGTAATGGGAATGTGAGGGAGCAATCCAGTTTGTGGCATCTGTAATTACAGACACCTCACACTGGAATGCCACGTATTCCCATCTCAATTACATTATTGCAAAAACACCACAGAAACACCCTAATATTGATACTGTACTGCAGCATCTGTGCTTAACACTCTAAGCCCTGAAGAAGGAGGAGCTTGTAACCTCCAAAACATGTAGGCTACCATTTTTAATTAAACACAATCTTTTACAAATAACCACCTCATTAATTAATTCTTCTTTGGTGTCCATTCCCTTAGTCTGGAAGAGAGCACATTACAAAAGTAGTCTGGCATGGGAAGCATATAATACATTGGAGGGATTTGTTCATCATTAACTGTGAAAGGTTTAACTAACTTAATCTTTAGTAATATTATAAGATGTAAACCAGTAAAACTAATGAATTTATATAATTCAATGTTGAGTAATATCAAAGTGAACATTATAAATTACTGATAATGCTTTTACTGTTTATTTGTCATTACACAAGACATATGTGAAGGATAATAAAATTGTATAGAATAATAGTTTATACTTATTTGTTATATTGTTGCTGGAGAAAACACTTAAAAAGTTACATACCTCGGTGTATACTATGGCAGTCATCCAAAACCGTTTGCTGGGTCGTGGCACAGATAGCATGGCCCACAGAAATATGAGGATTGGTAGCACCAGTGTTATCATAGAAGCAGAAATCATATGATTGAGGATAATAACAAAATAGCACACCATTTCTGATCTGGCTACTAATGTGTTGTACAGTGCATAAATTAGCTGCAGCAAGCGTGGCTGTCCACAGTAAAAGTTTTCTGAATCTTCCAGCTCTTCATCTTGAAACATTCTAAAAAAAGACAAAAATAAAATTGGTGTTTCTGGGCAAAAGATAAAGGTTTTGTGGGTCTTTTCTTATCCTAACATGAAAGCATAGAGTTTCCAAAATTTGAAGTGATCAGGCTATACTTGTCACTTTGAATGATCTGTGTCAGCTGTCACTTTATTGGAACGGTGGTAAAGAAGTACCTCTATTATAGGGTCTTACTGCCACCCTATGCAGTTCCAAAAGCTCCACTTTTAGGCAAAACCTTTATGTCATTAAAAGAATATTACTGAAATCTTCTTACATTCTATACTATTATTTTGGATTATTTAAAATAGACGGACCATTTCTCCTGCAGCTATTAACATCTACAGTACCGCTCACTGCTCCATGGGAATGGTCTGAGCCTGTCCACACAAGGTATGTGCATGCTGATGGACCATGGGAAATGTAGTTCTACAGCACACCATATGTAACCAAGGATTTGATGTAAGGAGGCTGCAGATCACTACTCCAGTCAGCCTACACATGGAGCATTTTCAGCCAGACTAATGACATCACTGGCCATAAAAATGATAATTACTAGAATTTGAGCATAAAGATTATTATACACAGACAGAGGAAGGATTGGAAGCAAGAAGAGATGGAGCCCTGGAGATCAGCTTTAACTGTGTTGAAATCTATGCAACACTATAATAAAATGTTTCTGCATGCGGAAATGGTCAGTACAGGTCTTCAGGATTCACACTCACTTGTTTAGAAGCAGCTCACTAGCAGTTAATTCATGTGTAAGAGGTGGAAGTATACTATCATGTAGCTTGTCCATATGGCTGTCATCAGGGCTTAAAACCATCAAATTATTATCCGCTAATTCATCCTGGGAAGTAAATGAAAGCTGCTCAAAGCTGACAGCTTTGCTGTAGGATGGTGGAAGGTCTCCATCTGCTGCATACAATGGCAGGTCTGTGTCGGGTGTATAGCTAGTTCCCTCCAGATCAGCACTATAGTCTTCATCCTCAGTTTCTGTTCTTGTAACTGGACTCTTGTGTTCTTCCTCTTGTTCATCTTCTACCTCCTCAATGGTCTCAGTTGTCCCTTGTCTTGAGTAGACCATGGTGCACTGTGTTGGCTCACTGTACAGAAGAAGAATCTGATGACATACTGACAGGAAATAATAATGATCAAGACATTTGCCAATCTAAAAAATAAAAGGTCCTTTAACAGATTCTGCCTACAAATGCACATACATTTTTCTAAGAGTTTAAAATTGCTTCATTCAGTCTCCAACAACAGTTTCACCAAAACAAATGTATGGTGTGAAAAATGGAACCACATGTGCCCACTAAGACTGCAGACTCATCCACAGCAGCACTTTTTATATAGAAAAGGGGTGTTGTAATTTAAGCATAGCATAAAGCTTATTGTTACAATACTTATTTATGAACATTTGCATTAGGACTAAATTTTACATCATACAGTTTATCATAAAAGAATATGGCAATTGCTTTAAATTCAACTGGACAATTTCAAGTAAAATGTGGACAGGATACTTTCCTGATATCTTGACTGAAATGATGTAAAAATGCAGGTATAGCACATATATTGATTAATGAATTAATAAATAAATAAAAGAAACATGCATGGATAAAGCACCTGGATGCTACACTGCCACTGTCAGCAGATGAAGAGGACATGTCCATGCTGTACATTTTACGAAGCCTAGGTCGCGCACGCTCACTTGTTTTTGGTATAGAGTCTGGTCCATCTAAATCATCAAGCGTAGATTGCCTTGAGAACAGCATGGTTGCTTCAGTGTTGCAGCTAGCAGCGCAAATAGTCACAAAGACAACAATAAGTAAGAAGCAAGCATAATGTTTTCTACATAATCTGATATGATTTCATGCAATAAACAAAAAGACAAGCACATGAAAAGCACACAAAACTATCATAAAATGTACCAATCATTTAAGATGTTAAAAACAACTGAAACAGATTGCTAACTGCATATTTATCTTACTTCTAGATAGGTTATCTGCAGAAACAGGTGTAAGTTGTCTTTAACAAACAGTTGACTTGGTGTAAATGTTGCAATCTATTGCGTTGCGAAACATTTTTCAACAAATGCTAACGGAAGGGAACCAAAAAATAAATGGGTGTGAATGGGGCTAGTTCTCATTACTCTGTTCCATTGTGCTACGTTACATTGCGCTGGAAAAAAAAGTTGAACATGAAACTTCCAACATGCAACAGACCCGATGTGAACTAGCCGCAGTCACACCCATTAATTTTTTGGTGCTCTTCCGTTAGCATTCGTTGAAAAACTGATTGCAACGCAACGGATCGGAAGAAAATTGGAAGGTACAATTGCAAGTCAACGGACCTTCTGTTGACTTGTGATTTCCTTCTGATTTTGGTGTGAATACACCCTAAGTAGAAAGTTTATAGGGGTAGGTGCACCTGTTTGACAGATACTTATCTGGAGGCAAAAACAAATGCAGTTGAGTGAACACTCTTGTAAATGTAAGCTCATTCGAGGAATACAAAAATATGTACCCAATTACTTTACTTGTCACATCAAAAAATGTATATGCCAATTGGGGGGAAAACATTTTTACAAAAGTATAATATAAAACATTAAAAATAATGTAACAAATATTGGAATGGATACTGTTATTATTTTTTCCTCGTAATAATATCCACAAATGCAAAGTAAATGAATAGAAAAAACATCCAGTTCTTGTAATGTAACTACAAGTGCCCCCGTGATTATATATAGATACTGGTATAAAGATATAGAAGAACCTACAATACTGAGTTGGTAGGCATAATGTGGGAGGAAAAGGCTACAAATGTACGATGCAGGCATTGGCTGGTTGTCATTTTCTCATTGAGATCTTGGCATCATAGAACAGCAGTCATTTTGACCAGAACATATTTTAATATGCTGTTGTTTAGACATTGTAATATGTGATTTTGAAAAGATTATTGAATTGGACACAAGGTAAAGGGTGTGTTTCACATCCAGCAAGAAGAATTTTCGTTCAATCCACTAACAAACAGATCTGATTTGAATATTCTATTAAATGGCTACAGTAATTTCGCATTTGTTAGCATAAAGTACTACTACAAGAAAGTATTAATTAAATAGATACTTTTTTTGATCTTCTTGGGTACTGTACTTAATAATGCTCTAAGGTGTGCATTATACATTCTCTTAAAACTTCTGGTTTCTAAATTGGATTAAATCATTTGGTAATTTAGCTAGCATGCCAATGGACTGCCAACTAGAAATGGTTAGTCTTTATTTATAAAATCATATAGTCAGCATTTTTTAGCTGATCAAATACAAAATCACATACTGTAGAACACTGCTCTTACCCATTATAAACAGCAATTTCAAAATAACTTAATTACGGTGTGACAGTTACTTTTTTTAATTGAAGTCTGGTTTCGTAATACTTCATATAATAGGCATCAAGCTTTCCAATGGAGTGAGTGGAAAGTGCATAATCTACAGTAACCAGTCAGATCTTTCTATATTTTAGCAACAGGATCGCTGAAATCTGGTAGACAACTGCATTTTCCTTACCCACAGGCTTTTATCCATGGGGTTAATTTATCTAGTACCGTATTTGCCAGCATATAAGGCGACTGGGCGTATAAGACGACCCCCTAATTTTTCAGTTAAAACATCGGTTTTGGGCTATACTCGTCGTATAAGACGAGTATAGCCCAAAATAATGTTTAAATACACCCACTAATCTGTCAGCCCGCTGGATGTGCGGTAATACTGTATGTACTGTAGCTTCAGCAACATACAGTATACCGCGCTGAGCCAATCATGGCGAGCGATGTATTCTATTAATGAATACAAAGCCTGCTCGGATTGGTAGAGGTTGTGTACATCGCTCGCCGTGATTGCCTCAGCGCGGTATACTGTATGTTGCTGAAGCTACAGTACATACAGTATTACCGCACATCCAACGGGCTGACAGATTAGATTGTATACCCGGCGTATAAGACGACACCCGATTTTCGGGGGATGTTTTTAAGTACAAAAAGTTGTCTTATACGCTGGAAAATACGGGTATATTTGCCTGATACAGACACTGATGTATTGAACATTTACAAAGAGCACAAGTCAAAGAAGAATCACACAAATAAGTATTGCAGTTAAACATGTTATGTGCTGTCTCCTTGACTCTAATTTTTACATTATTATTGATCATTTATTTATATGAGTTTATCATTTTTAACATTGCATTGTGGTTTTAGTGAGTGGTAATTATTTCTATTCACTTTGTTAAATATAGCACTAAAAAAGCACTAAAAAAATAATAGGTATGTATGGCCTAGAATGGCTGGATCTAGAAAATATATAATACATTCAGTGTTTTTAGCTCATTTTATAGTGAAAGTTTAGCAGTGATCTTATAAGCAATTATAGATCATTGTAATTGATAATTTCTCAAAATCGGGAACTGAAACTTAAAATGTAAAGGAAAGAAAATCTCTATATATGCCCTCCTATTACAAGGAAAGTTAAACATGTTAAATTTCTATCCTTAATTATTTTAAGCAATCTTCATTTTAAAGCATTATCCTTCTTTCTAATTGGTTTCCGTTTCTTGTCTACTTTACATTATACTGAAAAAGAAAACTATAATGACATGTTTACATTAGTGAAAGAAGAAAAATTTACAGGGTTCCTAAAACATTACAATCTTTTAACTTTGGGATATTTAAAATAGATTACATTTTCTCATAGTCCTGCTAGCAGAAAATATTGGAGCTAGTTGAAAGGAGGCAATAACTGTCTGATTCTCATCCAGACAGTTCTGAAATATATGACAGCTACAATTTCTTACACATAATGAGCAGCCTTGACAATGTCTGAGATGTATTTTGCTTCTATAACTGAATCTGCCAAGTGCAAAATAATTAACTTACTTTAAAAGGTACAAAGTGGAGATGTTCTTAAACACCATCTTTCTAGTACCGTTTTTGCCTTATTATCTTGTAATACCATGCTGGTACATGTTAATTGTATTAATACATCACAAAATTAGAGCTGATCCTGAAATCCGAATGATGTTGGATTTGGACCAGATTTTATGAAATTGGATGTCCCAAGCCAAATCTGAATTTCAGTGTTTTTTGTGGCAGTTTGGATTCTCAAAAGAAATCTGAGAGAAATGGAGGCAAGGCTGCACAAAAAGGCTGTTTCTGCTACCAGGTCCCTGGCTGTTTTTGACGAGTGTTCTAGCCAAATGCTGCATTTCTCATCTGAACACATGCAGCGTGTTTAATGTAATTCACGCCATTTGACACGAAATGCTGCGTTTGCCTTGTCCCACACCACTCTAAGCAGCGGGGAGAACATGTTCCATATTTACCACACTTCTCCTTTAATACGATATGCTGCATTTACAGAAGTGCAGCACAAGGCAAAGCAGGACAAAGCAGTCTCTGAACAGCCATGTGTACTTCTCAGTTTAGGTCAATTGGATTTTGCTGACCTGCATTTGACGAGCATTTCAAACACATGTCAAATGCAAGAACCTAATAGTGCTTTATCTGTTCTGTTTTCCCCTTCAAAGTGTTATCCAGAATTCATCAAACAATCTAAATCTATTGTCTCTCTGTTTTTTTTCCAGTGTTTGTACTATTTGTTCCTAATCTCTGTGAATGTCAGTTTCCAGTGACTACACAGTTCTTTCAAAAATAATTTTCCCTGTATACCCAGTTGCTAATCCCTTTCTGACTCTCTGAACGTAGGATACACTATATAATGTATATCTATTTAAATTACAACTTGCTGTATAGCAATCTCCATACTTCAGAAATGAAGGATCATGTCTTAGTTTTTATTTTTGAATAAATATTACCTGGACATGCTGTCATGAGAAGCAGCAGAATCTGCACTGTCCATTCTTCTACTGGAAATTTTGCCATTGTTTGCATGTAATGATGATGAACCAGGCTCTTCATCGATTCTGTCTAGTCCTGACTCCCTTGAAAGTGTCATCATGATGTGGTTTTGATAATACATGTGAATGCTTTCCCGAGTTGGAACAATGCCCTAAAAAGTAATGTATTTATTTATTATGTCAGCATTATTAAAGAACTTTTAATTCCATAAATAATAACCATTGTGAATAATATATACATATAT